CAATACAATACAATACAATACAATACAATACAATACAAAAGGATAGAATCAAGATCACATGGTAGTGTTAGTATTGCTTTATGAATGATGCCTAAGGTCACACTTGCAATACTTCATCCATGTTTGGCCACCACAATATAAAAAAAGATGTGGAGACTCTAGAAAGAGTGCAGAGAAGAGCAACAAAGATGATTAAGGGGCTGGAAGCTAAAACATATGAAGAACAGTTGCAGAAATTGGGTATGGTCAATCTAGTGAAAAGAAGGACTAAGGGTGACATGATAGCAGTCTACCAACACTTGAGGGGCTGCCCCAAAGAAGAAGGGATCGACCTGTTTTGCAAAGCACCGGAAAGGAAACAAGAAGCAATGGAGGGAAACTAATCAAGGAAAGAAGCAACCTGGAACTAAGGAGAAATTTCCTGACAGTGAGATCAATTAAACAGTGGAAAAAGTTGCCTCCAGAATTTGTGGGTGCTTCCTCACTTGAGATTTTTAAGAAGAGATTAGACAACCAAGAAATGGTACAGGTTCTCCTGATTGAGCAGGGGGCTGGACTAGAAGACCTCCAAGGTCCCTTCCAACTCTGTTATTCTCTATTCTGTTCTGAATGGAAAGAGGAATGAAAATAAAAATGGGAATAATGATGATGCCAGAGAGAGACCGTGGGAAATCAGGGGTGATCCAGATTAATAGAAATTAAGGAACCCACCTATCAAACCCAATAGAAGTGGACAGTTGACAATTAGATATCAGATGATAAGGTTTTGCAAATATGCAATTAAAGGTAAAGGTTCCCCTCGAACATACAATATGTGCTAGTCATTTCCGACTCCAGGGGGCGGTGCTCATCTCCGTTTCAAAGCCAAAGAGCCAGCGCTGTCCGAACACGTCTCCATGGTCATATTGCCAGCATGACTAAATGCCAAAGGCGCATGGAACGCTGTTACCTTCCCACCAAAGGTGGCCCCTATTTTACTACTTGCATTTTTTACGTGCTTTCAAACTGCTAGGTCGACAGAAGCTGGGGCAAGTAACGGGAGCTCACTCCATTACGCGGTGCTGGGGGTTCAAACCACCGAACTGCCAACCTTTCTGATTGACAAGCTCAGAATCTTAGCCACTCGGCCACCACGTCCCCTTAATAATATGCAACTATGCCACAGTAATTGTGATCATCGTCTTATTAATGTAAGATATAAATACATCCTGACAAGGATGCTGGTCGTGTCTTAGCTATCACCCTTAAACCTGCTGGTTTTTTTTTGTTTTATTGCAGCCTGGCACTCCGATGATCACATCCAATTGCATGGAGAGATGCACTTGTGAACGTCAAGGTCAGCTGACGTGCACGCCATTCCCGTGTGCTGCTGGAGAAACTTGCGCGCTGAATAATAACAAGTGGGACTGCGTCCGGAGGGAGGGACGCTGCACTGTTGCCCACGAGCACATCTTTACCTCTTTTGATGGAGTATCCGGAAAGCTTCCAGGCGAGGGGTCCTTTGAGATCACGGCCCTTGTCAATGCGAACTCAAAATCCTGGTTCCGGGTGGTGGTGCAGGTGAAGAAGTGTCCCCAGTGTGCGACACCCAGTGTGGTCGCTGTCACTGTCTATTTCCACAAACTGATTGTGCTGGTGAATAAGGATACCTCCGTCTCGGTAAGAAGCCACTCCTGGCAGATGGTAGCGCTCATCTTTTATTCACCTCCTCTACTCCACTTAGAGTACTATCTATCTCTTCCTTCCTTCCTTCCTCTCCTCCCATGTACAAAATGTACGGGGTTTCTAATCACCTAATTGCCTTTCCTTCTCCCTTTCCTTTTTCACCCGGTTGTCTCTGTCTGACCTAGACTGCCACAGCCTAATGAACAAATCAATGAGGTGTAAATTTTATAATGAAAGGTACCAGGAGCCACTGAGATCCAGCTGCAGTGAAGTTAGAGTCGACGTACTCTTACAAGACTAGGATGTAACACAAACGAATCAAGGCGAATATACGCCGAGGTGGCGCAGTGGTTAGAGTGCTGTACTGCAGGCCGCTTCAGCTGACTGTTATCTGCAGTTCGGCGGTTCAAATCTCACCGGCTCAGGGTTGACTCAGCTTTCATTATAAAATT